GAGAGAGAGAGAGAGAGAGAGAGAGAGAGAGAGAGAAATGGAAAGGACACACTACTAACATCAAGATTGAACAGGGTGGTTGCTACAGATCTTGCAAAAATTAGATAGATAATAAGGAGATAGAAGGAGAAAATCTTAGGTATAAATAAAGTTGACCCCTTAGATAAAAGTGGACCAAAATGCTTTGAAAAGCACCACGTACCCAAATATGCTCAAATTGAAAGTTGGCATGGCAATAACCCTAAATTGCTGAAAAAGTACATCATTTTAAAATTTGAGGAAAGACTTCTTGATGCCCAGATGGTATCCTAAGAAATTTTTACCATACTTTTAATGACGAATGAAAAAAAGAATTGGTGCAGAGAAAAGAGATATAAAAAGAATTTTGAAAAATTTGAATACATACTGCAATCCTTGTTAATGATTAGAGATAATTATTATTAATTTTATTAACTGGGATAAGGCCTTTGGATTTGCAGACAAATGTTCTTCATCATTTGACCATTCTAGCTGTGTACTTCACTGACACTGTGTGCATTCCTGATTAAACACTGGTCGATGGGCTTAGGCAGCTTCCATGCATCTCCTTCTATCAAGGAAATTGCTATTCACTTCCTATCATTACACTTCCTACAAGAAGGCACAGGGACAAATCAGTAGTTCAGTGTTGACCTAGCCCATGAGGTACATGGTAGGCATGCTGAAAACAACCTGGAACTTGAGAGTCTTGTGGAGTCCAGACCCACTCCTGTGATTACACAGGGAAATGACTCACATTGGGTCACAGAATGGAGTCTCCAGATGACCCTGGTGTTTAAGACAATGTTCATGGGAGAGGGACATTTCTTTAATTAGCAAAAATTTTCATTATAGGCTGGTGTTGGCCCTGTCCCCAGGGATCTTAGTTTTGCATTGAGTCGTGTAGAAAGTCATCAGTGGTCAGGGCAGGAAGTCATCAACAGCGATTCCATTGCTCTCCAGGGCCATTCTGGTTTCCCTACTGTAAACTCCTAACATACAGGTAGTTGAAGCAAAAATGAAGGATATACACAAGTAGAAATTTCCATGTTGTGAGCATGCTTTAAGGGTCCTCATGACTATTGGTCTGCTATCACAAATCAGAAAGAAAAGATCTGTGGAGTCCACTCAAGGTCACCCAGGGGCCTGGTCCAAACAGTCTCCACATCCTCAGGGAGTCTCTTTCATATTTCCCCTAGCAGGTGCCAGTCTGCTGGGTGAGGATAAAGATGTGTATGGAAAATTCTCATCTGGAATGGAAGCTGGGCAGAGGTCAACATGGTAAGGGGTAAGGGGAGTCCCTGAGGAAGGAGGACAGAACAATTGTTAGGTTCAGAGATGAGAAGCAGGACATTAGGACAGGATCGTTCCCTCCCTGCATTTCTTTTTAAATATCTGTGTATTTCAGAAGATCCATGGAGATTTGTACCAAGCTCTTGACAGTGGAGACTCTTGGAATGAGGAGGGGGATTGCAGGTGAATGTAAGGTTCTAATATATATTTATAGACTTGAGAATTATTCTATAATGAATAGGAATACTAACTTTGGCAGTATTTTAAAAAGATACAGGATAAAAAAAAAGACCCAGTCAGTTGGGTGAGATGGCTCATGTCCATAATCAGTGGCTTGGGAGGCTGAGGCAGAAGGATCACGAGTCTAAGCCAGCCTCAGCAAAAGCAAGGCCCTGAGAAAGTCAGCAAGATCCTGTCTCTAAGTAAAATACAAAATAGGGCGGGAATGTGGCTCAGTGTCTGAATGCCCCTGAGTCCAATCCCTGGTACCTCCCACCCCCCAAAAAAGATCCTGCCAGCTGGAGTGGAGACCCCACCAGGGAGACATCTTTTTCTTTTTCATACTAGAGATACTTAACCAGTGAACCACACCCCTAGGCTTTTAAAATATTTAATGTCCCCACTCTGGGCACATGAGTTCACCGGGAGCCAGCTCAGTGGTTACACTTCCAATCCTTGTTATGTGTGATGACTGAGGTTTCTGTCCTGGACACATTTCCATTCACACTCAGGTCACACGCAAGCTCAGGAGGTAGAACTTCTTTGCCTGGCAGGTGATAGTCACCTGGTTGTGTGTCACTGTGAATTTTTGAGTGACCTCCAAGATGGGTGGAAAGAGAGGAGGATGGAGAGGGCCAAGAAGACATGACAAGTGTCAGGTGAAGAAGGAAAGCGGTGAGTGCCACAACGGCCCATCCCCCATTCTGCTTTCTTCCCTAGTGTCCCTGTTTGAAGGCCCCATGAGATGTGTGCCCAACCCCACAGAGGAGACCCTTAGAGTGTGGGTGTGGGGAGCTGACTAAGACGCTGCTCTGTGTTCATAGGCTATGGATGCCCTGTGGACAGGAGGGGTCACTGCTCTCACAACACAGACAACATCAAGGTAAAGTAT